TGACATGCAGGTGAAGACGAGATCAGCTAACCACCTCCCTGTACTCAGGAAATGCAGCCCTCAGCCTCCCAGCTCTCTGGGAAGGAAGCACCTCCCAAACCGCACTGCACCAGGTGAAAAACATCCCCAGTCCACTGGATTTGGTGCCAGCAGCCGAGGCAGTGTGGTGTAAGGGCCCAGATTTTCCCATAGTGCTCCAACACAGCCTTTCTGGCAAGGTCACTTTTCATCCAGCAGATGTAACACTGCGCCAGCAAGAAATACTTCTGTGGGGTTGCACTGAACCACGTTACAGAGTACAGACTCTTCTCAATGCAAAAGTCAATGCCTTTTTTTTTTTTTCAGGCTACCGGGGCAAACCATTTTGCAGAGTCAGCAGAGACTTCCACATGCAAGTTTATCTTCTTTTTAAACAAGTAAGGTACAGATATGAAGTCTAGCTAACAACTGATCCAAAAGCTTCTTAAATGCACATACTAGCGATATTTCTAAGAGGTCCCACAAGAAAGGTCAGTTAGATCACACCTTAATCTTGGGGTCTGGGAGATTGAACGCTGTATCCTACCTTCTCCCAATTCCCTTTCCCAAACAATGAAAACAAGTCATCCATCACCCACACTACTTATCAAGCAGAAGTCTTCAGACCAGATCCTTCAGTTTTATAACAACTGCTGACACCTCAGGTTTTAGTAACTCCTCTTTCTGAATTGCTGTCAGTCCACCAGGCAATCTGAAAAAACTCAAAGTCACTAACCCACCCCTGCCAACACCACCAGCAGTATTTTCAGGAGCAGCAACAACGATCAAGGTATCGAGGAAGAAGAAAATAAGCACAACTTCTTTCAAGCAGAAAAACAAAGGCTGGATGAGCAGGCCAGGAAAACACGCTGACTCTTTTGGAGTAAAACTTACCTCGCTCCACAAAGAACATCCTTGCATCAAGGAAGATGTTTGGTTTTAAAACATGCCTGGTAATTACCAGGAATAGCTGTTAAATGGCAAGTTAGTGGCTACCTTCCTGTTACCTGTGCATGGCTCTGAGCCCAGGGACCTATTCCTTCAGAGTCCCTTGCAGCCAGCAAGACATGCGCTGGTAGCTTGCACAGAAACAGACCTGCTCACAACAAATCACCACTCCTGCTTTCAGATTTGAAGCACATAAGCAACAATTAAGATGAAAATCCTTAATGAGAAAAGGAGTTGATAGCTCTGATATTTTCTTCTAGCAGATAAACAAGAGGAAAGCCATTACATGAACTGCAGGAGCACATTCATTTGACCACACCCTCCCCTAGAAAACAAGATTCCCACATAGCAGGGAGCAGCACAGCCATCCTACAGTGAGTTTACAGGTGGGCTGCACTCTGGTGCACGCTTCATGGGCTAGCTCCCATTCAGTGGCTGCTCTTTTAAGATGACTCTAACCTTGCACAAGCCCACAGTTTTTTAGCTTCTCAAAGCATGAGACACAGCTGGGACACACCAAAATAAAAACATCGTTTCCCTTTCTACTTCCAGTAAGTTATCCAGTAAGTTATCCTAGTGAAATGCTATTCATCTGCCATTCTGTTGATGAGATCTCAGCCCCTGCTCGTTTTCAGTCTGTAAGTGGGAAAACCACAGTGGGGGCTCCTTATGCCAATAGAAACTTTACAAGATCAGGCAGATCATCACATGATGAAGCCTCACTTTAAATAAAAGCTGCCTACTCCAGATATTTCAGTGCCCTTTGCTCAGCTTGCCAAATGATGGATTGTTTAGTGATACTTGTTTACGTCCAAGACTCCTGCTTCAGACTCTTTCACGCTGGGAGAAGGCACAAATAGCGTAAGAGGAGGATGATGGTATACAGAGGAGCAGAAAGACTGTACAGTAGTAGTTTTTCCTTTGTGCAAGGTGCTGTATCTACACTCCACAAGCACAGGTGTATTTACCATGCAACACCTTTGTTAACAAAGTAAGAGAATAGTACCGTAGCTGCCAAAGACTGGTCGGCGATTTCAGGTCAGTGATGGCCAGGAGTCAGCAGTGGTGGAGCTATTCTAACTTCTTAGTCTCAAGACAATTTTCCTTTGATGGAAATGAATTGGGCAAAAGCGATATAGTGAGGGAGTCCTCTGCACAGCACAGCATCCAAGGGAATGGCTTCTTCCATGGCCTTTACAGACACAAATGAGCTAACAGATACACTGCCTACTCTGAACAAGGAAAAATGACCTCTGGTGAAGTCACACACTTCAAAACCTCTCTAATGAAGCAATGCTGTAGAGCAGGTATATTTGTTCACTAACTCTCTTCCTGTTTCAGCTAGGTTTCATGACTGCCTATGTCTGCTGTAGGCTATCAGCAACTCGACCAACACTGAGAGTGTAAGGGCCCGGCAGAGATTTGGAGAGATTTCCAAATTTGGAAATCTCCAAATCTGGAGAGATTTCCAAACCTTTATATTAAAAATGTAAAGTGCAGAAATTACAACCTCTGCATTAAATTAAGCTCCAAGGGATTTCCTGTAGCTTGCACAGGAGATCATGGAAGTTTCTTTGAAGAGATTTCAACACACTTTTCCCAGAACTCATCACACATTTTAATTACTCCCTTCACACATCCAAGCACTTTATATGCAAGTCAACCTTCCAGGCAAGTATCTTTTTAATAACTTTTTAGTTAAGCCTGGTAGTTTTCATTTCACCAACCATTTGCTCTTCCCATTAAACAGACCTTTGTTCAAAACACTTTCACCATTATGCTCTTACAGGTACGAATTCCAACAACTGCTAACACCAAAAACCAGAATAACTAGATGTTCCCAATTACAGCACCTGTCTAAGCAGAACAGTCACACAACATAAAGGTGCGCATAGTGGTGCAGTTTAATTGGATATTAAAACCCCCTACAGCAAGAGCACCTCATACCCAAGGGAGAAGCAGGATGCTGAAAAGGGGCAACCATAGCTGACAACTTCAAAACAGGTTTAGAAGATGAGGGTGGAAACTTAATCCATGATAGCTTCTGGAACGGCTTTGTCCCCTTGCCATCTGCCCTCTCTCCTGGCCATTTCAGATTGCGCTGAACAGCACAGAACAGCACTGATGACCTCTCTCTGCAGATCATTTACCCACTGTCTCCTTTCAGCCAGGATTTTTTCCATGCAAAGATCTTTCCTCTTAGAGAGGCTAAGCAGCCCTCAGATAAGACTGACCCTTTGCTAACAGGCCCCATCAAAAGCCCTTCAGAAACCTAAAACCGTACTGGAACTACCTGCAGAAGGGAGTTTGGAGAAGTCTCACTCACAGCTGTAGTGCAGGGTCCAGAGCCATCCCGGCAGAGATATCTGTGTAACAAAAGTACATCATTTCAGAGACAACATAATACTTCCCTAAGAAGTGGGATGCCGACCAGTTCCCTATCCTGGAGACTGAGGAATGAAATTAAAATGACCCATTAGCAAGGCCGGGAGAATTAAGTCTCCCATGTGTTGCTGAGGACAGTGGTCCAGCTTGATCCGAGCCGAGGACCTCACATCAAACACTACTGTACCCACAACTGTAAAACACCTGCTCAGCTGTTGCACGGGTGGAAGGTGCTGAGCAGCAGTCACCATTTTTTACTCTATGAAATATGCAAACAAATGGCACAATCAGTACTTTACGTTAAATAGCCTGGTAGTAAATGCAAAGGTACATTACCCTGAAGAATGCATTAGAAAAAAATTAGTGAAATTACGAAGGCTGGCAAGGGAAGGAAGCAAAGCTTCCTGACACGGAAAGGAAATTAGGGCTGCAACTTAAGGACAAACTGGATGCTTCTACCACAGCGGTTAGCAGTGGATTAAGCATCATTATTAAGTTTCAAAGTTAAAAACCCCACTGCCATAACCAAAGTGATACATACCTCTCTGGAAGTTACAGCCTTGGGGTATTTGGCAGCACCTGCCTGAGTCTGCAGGGCTGGTTTCTAAGGAAATTTTTCTTTACTAACCATTTGAATTTAAATCAAAGTGAAGAGTCTAGCAGACATTTTGGGTAGTACTCAGACACATCATAGAACACAAAACACCATTTTGTTATGAGAAGCTTCCTTAAGGGTAAAAACATTTAAATGAAGAAGATTCCTATGCAACGAGCAGCAAAGGTGGCTTAAATTTGGTCTTCTGCTCTCTCAATTTTGTGTTCTCCAATGTTTCCTACTGTAATACTCAGCTGGACAGATTTAGAGTGCACCGTTCGATCAGAGATGCAAATGTATTCAAATCCCTCACCCCAAGAACATGCATCATCATAGCGAAAATAAAGCTTTTTCCATAATTAACAGACATTCAACTAATCACACAAAAGCGCGTAAGGGATCGGTACTCCCTTAGATAGAAATGTTTATGATATACAGCTGGTAACTGTTGAGTTTATTAAGGAACTGTTTTGTGGTGGGTTTTTTTGTTAAATAACCAACATGAAACTTCCCCTCCAAATAAAAAAAGTAATGGAAAGAAAAACTGAGCAGAGTACCAGGAGAGAAGGGACAGAGGGACAACTCTGGACTGTTCTGACTGCAAAGACCTGCAACAACAGATCTCCAAGCCCAGCGCCAAAGAGCCATCACCCTCGAGGGGGCAGGGCCAATCTATCCAGTGACCAAGACTGCAGAGAGAAGTCTCATAGCCTGTGCATGCTTGCAAAAAGCTCATGCTGATGCATCGTCAGTTCAGCAAATTGAGACAGTGCTAGCACACGCAAGTGACTTCCATCTTCTCCTCATGTTTCATTACTCAGTGGCAATTAGGTTATTTTTTTCACACAAAGCCAGTTCAAAGCCAGTGAGCACAATGTCTACCAGTACAAGTTCCAGAGATCCCCGTGATGCAGTGTTCCCAGTCAGCCACTGCTGGGAAGTGGACCTGGACTGGCCAGAGTGCATGCAGTGGAGTGCTTTCTCCAGCCCCACCGAGCAGGCCTCACAGGGTAAGAAGCAACCAAGGAGACAGCAATCACAAATTAACTAAAAATTAAGATTTGTCCAGTTTGTGTGTGCGCTCATGCCTCCGTAGGGTACCTGACTCAGTGAAGGAATGACCACAGTAATTGCAAGAGTAAGGCTTCTCTCCGGTATGGATGCGGTGATGGCGCTGGAGTGATGCCAGCCGGGTGAATGTCCCTCCGCACTCCTCGCAATAGAAGGGGCGCTCCCCAGAGTGAGTCTGCTGGTGTCTTTTCAGCCTGAGCAGCTGGACGAATGCCATGCCACATTCCTGACACTTATAGGGCTTGTCTTGTCGGTGGATCACCTTGTGTTTGGAAAGCAGGTTAGGCTTATCGAAACCTTTGCCACACGTTGAACAGGCATAAGGTTTATAGTCGTCTTCCTCAGACTTCTGGTTTTCTGCACAAGGCTGATCAGTGTACTCAACAGTGTGTTGGTTACGGTGCACTATCGACCAGGGGTTCCTAGCCATGCCGTTTCCCAAGATCACCATGGAGCGCTCTATCTTGTGCACGTTGCGTAGGTGCCTCCAGACATCAGCCGTGCGAATGAAACCCTTGTCACACTCTGGACATTTGTGTGGTCTATCACTAGAATGAATGAGCTTGTGCATTCGCAAATTTGCCGCCCGGAAGAATTCTTTGGCACAGACAGGGCATCGGTACGAGTTTTCCACAAGGTGAGTTCGTTTATGTTCCTGCAGCTCGCTCACGCCCTGGAAAGAGGAACCACACTTCTTGCACCGATACGGCAAAGCTTCCTCAGAGACAGGCTCCAGGTCCTCATCAAACACACCAGCAAGAATGGTATTTTCATTATCGTCACGTAGTCTTCTCCGTGGTTTCTTGGACCGCTCAGAGGAACAGTGCTCTAAATCTTTATCTTCGCACTGCAGGTTGAAGTTGGTACTGGAGGGGACAAATACCCCAGCTGTACTCTCACCTTGTTTCTGGTAGCAGGTCTCATAGGTTTCTTTGTCTTCACACTGCAACTCTGCAGGAACCTCCTGCTTACCTGAAGGTCCAGCAGAGTTGCAACGAGGACCGCGTGTCCGTGGGTAATTCATGTCTACCTCCTTCTGGAGGCTAGATGTGTGGCCCACCTGCTTACTGGTCTTTCTGGAATAATTTGAATGCTTCTCACCTGTGTCACAAATGTTATTCTCAGAGTCCCAGACCACATTAACATCCATCCTCTGAGGCATATGCTGTGTTCATCGGCAGCTCATTGATGATGTGTATACCAAGAGCTTTAGGTCTTTCATGGTAAGTTCATCTCATTCTCAGCTCTCTTTACAGTCCTCCCTAGAAAATAAAACACCCATTTAATCAGTGATTTTCCTGATATTAATATAAGATAAAGTTATCCCAGTGAAGATTTTTTTCTGATTTAAAGAATGGGACAGGCTATTAGTTATACAGTAGGAGAAACAGAATCCTGTACTATTATATATGTAGAAAATATACATGCAGCATACAAAATACAGAGTACGTTTAATGAAGTTAAATCCTCTGTCATAAAACCAGCCTTCACTACAAATAAAAATTGATACTTTCCATTTTAAATTCACCTAAAGATGAGAAATCTTCAGAACTCTGGGGCGCAAACACTTTCGGCAAAGAACTACACCATAGCTGCCCTCACCACAGATCTTTTTCCGAGGATTCATGCCTAATCCTCTGTTTTTACCTTGTTAAATACAAACTAGGAGCACCAATCACAACGTGTTATCTTTCAGAAACTAGTTAGGTAACGCAATGAGACCCAGAAACTGTGCCAGTCACACAGCCAAAATCAGAAGCAATGTACAGAAGGGGGGTCTGGAGAGCTCGGAAGCGCCTTTGGCCTCCCATCCTGACCAGCACTATTGTAACTGTCTTGAGGATATTTGGGGTGGCCGTGCCACTACAAGCTAGCACCATGCAAAGACGACATGTGCAAGGAAAGGCATGAAAGAGCTGTCCAGAAAGTTTACTGATCATCTTCCCAGGCTTCAAAGCACAGCTAGTAATCCTCCAGAGCCGGCCCACTGAACAGTTTCAAATTCTCTGGGTAAACTCCCTTTGCAGACCAGCCTTGCTAGCAGAAAATATGAGCAATGGTAGTTGGTCAGAAATACCAGTCTGAGTCACAAACTTTCTTGTGAAGAAGATAGTTTCATTTATGCCATTCCAAAGCATGGATTCACAAGAGGTTTTCTAGATTTGTCCCAGCAGCCTGACAGCAGCTCCACAAGGAGCTTTCACTTACCTGGTTTAAACCTGCATTCACACTGAACTGCTAGTCTAAGCTCAGAAATTGCATTTTCCCCCATCCTGATGGATACCTTGGCTGCTCCTCCGACCCCAATCTTCTCCTTCACTCCCACTTTTCATATTCCTTTTACTCCTGCTGTTACTTTACTTCCTCTTAACTGCTTTTGTCTGGGTAGGACTTCTCTGAATACAAGCATATACATACAGAAAACCACACATAGGTAAAAATGCACATATTTCTGTATTTCCATGCGTACATAAATAGAAAGCCTGTCTATTTAGTTTCAGTAAGTTTAAATAGCTGTAAAGGCCCTATAGCGATATGCATTTATTGAAAGGTCCCATTGAGGTCTCAGAAAGGCCAGCTCCATTTGAGACACAAGCTGCGCTTTCTTCTGCTGTCATACAGAAAACAAGCTGAATTAGTCGTCTTCATCAGTTGCTGCCTGGAACAGAATGGCTCAAGTCACCCCCCAACTTCGACCGTTCCCATTAATTTAACGAGGCGCGCAGGAGAACAGAGACGATTCCTCACCTCCTGCGAGGGGCTCCGAGCTCCCGAGCCGCCTGACCGAGATCTGCCGTATCCTTTGTTGAAGAAGAAACTTTTTCAAGGGCGGCTGGCACTGCTTGGCTTCAGAAAACTCCCCCACAAGGGCCCGTCCGCTTTCCACACGGGGGCAGGAGTATTTAAATCACGGAGTAGGCTTAAACATAATAAATAAAAATTAATAAATAAAAGGTACTTTCGTCGTTCCGGGCAGAACGAAGCCCCGAACTTTTCCCGCTGCGCGCAGGGG